AAAACTAGAAAACATTTTGAATGGAAAGTTTATGAGAATACTGCATATATTGACATTTGGGAGCTATAACTAAAGAGTGCCCAGGGAAGCCCCAGCTGGATGGCTTAGCTCATTGATGGCGAACCTTTTGAGCTCAGTGTATCAGCATTTTGAAAAACCCTAACTTAACTCTGGTGCTGTGTCACATATAGAAATTTTTTGATATTTGCAACCACAGTAAAACAAAGACTTATATTTTTGATATTTATTTTATATATTTAAATGCCATTTAAGAAAGAAAAATCAACCAAAAAAATGAGTTTGTGTGTCACAGGTTTGCCATCACTGGCTTAGTTGGTTGGAGCACCATCCCTTATACTAAAAAGGTTTTGGGTTCCATCCAGGTAGCGTATGGGAGGCAACTGACCACTGTATCCCCCCTTTCCTCTCCACCCCCTTTCCTCTGTCATGCCATCCTCCCCTTCCTTTCCCATCTCTTTCAAAGCAGTAAACATATCCTTGGGTGAGGATTAAAAAAAAAAGAGTACCCAGGGCAAATTGGTAGCCTTAAACATTTATATTGGAAAAGAAAAACTAAAATTAATTAGCGAGGTATAAGTCTCAAGACGTCAACCCAAAGAAAGGAAATATTAAGGAATATCAAATAGTATATATTTCATGAAATAGAAAACAAATATGCCTTAGATACAATTACAATTTATAAATCCCTGATAAGATTATCAGAAAAGGAGTGAGAGGGGAGAAAATTAAAGAACCCATATCAAGAATAAAAAATGGGACATACCAACCAACCCATATTCTCTCACTGGTATTAGGGACTTAACCCTTCACAGGGCTCACTAGTGCAGTACTCGGGCTTCCTGCGTCCACAGAGAAAAGGGCTCCTACTTTTCGGTAGAAGAGTTGGGGGGTGGGGAGCCTCATGGACTTCAGTCATTGGACTAAGTAGGCCATAGGCTATACTCTTCTGAGTCAAGAAGAGGATTTCTGGTTCAGTTTAAAGACTATCTCAGGAGATGGGCAGGACCAGATGATTTCATAGGGAAGTTATTCAAGTTTCAATAAACAGATAATTCTATTTAAACTCTTTCACAAAATAGAAAAAGGAAATCTTGTAGATTATCATTTCCGTTAGTATAAAACTTGATAAATAGAAACTGATGAATAGATAAATAGAAAATTGTAGCCCTATCTTTAGTAATATTTATCATTGATAAATAATTAATGGCACACCGTGTGCATTCAAGAAATCTTAAGATTCTAGGAAATACATTTAGGAGTAAATTTAAAGAATTAAACCATAGCTAAATCGACTACCCCTAGCATGGAAAACTTGTCCATTCTTAGGATATTATTAATACCATGCTATTTTAATACATCAAAGAAAGAAAACTTAGATCATCTCATTAGATGCCAAAAATGTATTTGTTTATTAACAAGTTCATTTTTTAAAAATACTTGGGAAATGGGAAGAGATGAATAGTCATTTTTTTTTTGGATAAATATGTATATCAATCAAACCATCATGGTTTTTGGTGAAACTCTTTAAGGCATTCCCATTAACACTCTGACACAAAACAAATATGCCAGCTATTACTACTGTCTTTTAACGTTTCTTAAAAAGTATTAGCCAAGCCCTAACCGGTTTGGCTCAGTGGATAGAGCATCAGCCTGCGGACTGAAGGGTCCCAGGTTCTATTCCCACA